TTTGAAGGTTATCACACAGAAGCAAAATTTAGCTTGTTCTCTATGACTACAAAAGTTAGGTACAGAGCCATGTGTTGGAAACAACAAGTTAGTAAACTGTAGTTTTGCATAAGAAAACATTTTTAGCTTGTCCAGAGGTGAAATAGCCAGCCTTTAGAGGTAGTGATACTTTCTTATTAGAAGAACTCAGATTGGCATGCTGTATAACTCATTAGCAAGAACCTAGTAGAAGAGATTCGAGTATCAACTTTAATGATTTTTAATGGTAAATCCTTTCTATTTTGAGAATCTGTGATCTTATGAATCCCCATTAGTAAGAATCTGTATCAAGACAAGATTTCTGAGTATTAAATATATATTTGATTATATCAGTAGTCCCGCTCAAATCATCAGATCATCAATGAAATCCTTTTGTCAACTAAATTATATACAATTTCTAGTTGTTTGTTCTTAACTCCTAAGTTCTTTGTACTTGAAACCTAACTTGACCTTAGCCATCACTCTTACCTTGTACAGCATTGCCAAATTGGCTTCAATTAAACATTGCCCTAGAATATGTAAATAAATGACATAGGGAAAAGGATTCTATGTTTAAATAGAGTTGAGATATGCTGACACTGAATTAAAATACTAAAAGCTCTGAGAAGACCTGCTATGAATAAATTTGTTTAACCTTATTAAAATCCACCATTTCCCACATAATTGAACATGGAATGCGTTTTTCTTTTGTCACAGCTATTAATATTACAGAACAGTTTTCCATTTGTCATTTCCCTTTTCTCTTTTGTTGTCATTATTTTTTTCATCTCCTTTTAGTATTTTTCTCCCTCTAACTTCATTTCTAAATTTAGAGTGGGAAAATGATGAGAGAAGAAAGAGATAATTAGACTCAGAATTGTACAGTTTGAAGCCCCACAAAACACTCCCTGTAACCCCAGAAAAATAGAGAGATAAATGGGAAGATAAGAATCTAGGAGAACATGTTGAAATTATAGAAAATGAAAGGGCTTTTGACATCATGAAATTTCTCATACTCATTTCATAGTCACTTAATTACTCAAAAAGTGAGTCACTGATTTATTGATAATCTGGCCTTTCTCCGCGTTGTTTCTGATTTTCATGAGTGTTCTGTTTATGATACCATCTGTTAGGCAGTTGAAGCATGTGGATGAAAAATAGGTTGGTATCTGTACAGAATGTGACATGACCTATGCTAGGAAGGTTATATCCCTACTCATCTGTTCTTTTATGTCTTCCTCTGTATAGTTAAATCATTTTTCTAGGTCTGGAGTAGTTAGTGACAGGTTAAAAGCAACGAAAGTAAGAATTTATAATGCAGTCTTCTTAATCCTTTTGAGATACTCTACTTCTCTATATGTGAGATGGTCTCACAGTACTGTTTTTTTCCCCCTGAATCATCCACATGAATCATGAATTGTATCTAAAATATCTGCAGTCACAGACAACTATTACTTATTGAGAGTAATAATAGCCAGAGGGGAGAGCTTAATGATTCAAGAATCAGCTTCATATAAAGACTCTACCTTAGTCTCCCTAGAAACCAATGATCAAATCTCATCAGGGTCAACTTAGCCCTTTCTATAATAGATGAATTGAATAACATGGTGTTTAATTTGTGTGTGTGTTATTGAATGAAGCTATGAAGAGTATTTGGTCTGCATATTAAAGATATAACCATTGTTCTGGCAAGCAAGGAAAATTCCAGTGTTTTTTTCCCCTAAAATATTTAACCTTGGGTGATTACAGATGCACAAAAGTTTGAATGTTCCAGTGTCCATGCAAGATTGTTTTTAATCGGAAAACAGTAATTTGTTAATGGGTATTTTATGTCATGACTAGCCTCTTTTTGGTTTTCTGGCTTTTTGGGGGCTTGAATTAGGAGAAAATGCTTGGATAGTTGACAGTATTTCTAAATCTTATATTTCCTATCTGTATGCCATTTTTGTGAGTTTTATTTGGAAAAATAAATCTACAAAATTTTTGCCGTTTCTTAAAAACTTTGTAAATTGTTCAAGGACTAAATTTTCATTTTAGAAACCTTGCAAACTACAAGCTAGTATAAACAGGCAAATAAAATGAAATAAAATAATCAGTTCAGCTACTTGAGAGGCTGAGGCTGGAGGATTGCTTGAATCCGTGAGTTCAAGTCCAGCCTGACCAAAATGGTGAGATCCCATCTCTTAAAAAAATTATCTGTGGTCCTACTTTCAGAGGTAGCTGCTGTTAACCACTAGTCACATTGTTGTTATTATTCTCCCACCTAATTCTGGTGTGTGTATTCTGTTTTCAAATTTCCAATAATTTAATTAGTTCCCAGTATTTCTCTCTTACCACTGTTTAAACATTCTTTTGACATCTTTGCATTCATCTCTTATTTCCTTACAGTCAGGTTCTAAGCATGGAATTGTTAGGTCAGAGGGTATGAAAACTTTAAAATCTTTCTTTGATATTTCCAATTTGCTTCCTAGAAAAGTACTATATTAGTATGTTTGTGCTGCCAAAACAGAGTACCACAGACTGGGAAGAAATTTGTTTTTTCAGTTTTGGAGACTGGAAGTCCAAGATGAAGATGCCAGCAGGGGTGTTTTCTTTCTTTCTTTTTTTTTTTTTTGGTACCGGAGATCGAACTCAGGTCCTTGCGCTTGCGCAGTAGGCAGTGAAACCACTGAGCTAAATCCCCGGCCCTGCAGGGCAGTTTTCTGATGGGGCGTCTCTTCCTGACTTGCAGTTGGCCGCTTTCTCACATGACACCCTCACCTGTCCCTTTCTTGGAGTGAGAGGAGAGAGACAGAGAGCACAAGCTTTTATGTCCCTTCCTCGTATAAGGACACTAGTGCTCTTGGGTTAGGGACTCACCCTTTTGATCTCTTTTTAACCTTAGTTAACTCCTTAAAGACCTGATCTCTACAGGTGCATTGAGAGGGCTTCAACAGATGAATTTTGGGGAAACACAATTCAGTCCAATTTTACTACATGGACATTCATCATCAGTGAATGAGAGTTCTCATTTGACCATTTTGTGGAGATAGCATTGTTTGCATTTCTTTGATCCTTAGTTTCAGTGAAAAAAAATTTGTATTAGAAATTGATTCCAGGGCTTTGCACATGCTAGGTAAGCACTCTATCACTGAGCTACATCTCTATCCCTTTTTGTTTTATTTTGAGACAAGGTCTCAGTAGTTTGCCCAGGCTGGCCTCGAACTTGTGATACTCTTTTATTTTTTATTAATCATATTGGTACATTGAGGTATACAATATAATGACATTCATCATTGGAAATTTGCACCTTTACATAATCTCTTGGTTCTTATTTTTCCCCATTCCCCTGCCCTCCCTTCAACCCCTCCATACCTATCTACAAAGACTTTGTTTCCATTTTTTCTTTTTCTCATATTAATTCCATTCCTTTCTTTCTTTTCCCCTACCCCTCCCATTTCTCCTTCCCCTTTGCCCCTTTTCTTCCTATTTCACATTATCCATTATACCTTTTAGTCCTTATTTACACTTTCAGTTTCTCACACTAGAGAAACTATTCGGACTTGCTTCAGCCTTTCTAGTAGCTGGGATTACAGGTGTGTACCACTATACTTGGCTCAGTGAAAATTTTTTTAAAAATTTGAACTTTTTTGTGAGTTTTCTATTTCTGTATCTGACCATTTTTTTCTGTTGTTGAGGTAGTTCTTAATTGACTGTAAAACTACATTTTCATTTGAATGTTTAGCTATTTTGTATTTTGGGAGACTTTCTTGTTTACAGAGAAAAGGAATCATTTAAAAATGTTATTTATCCTTTGACATTAAGCCATTATTTACTTTTAACATAAAGTATACAGAATTCATAATGTTTGAGTTTCTGTATTAATGAATCATGTGTTTAATGCTCACCATACATTCATGAAACCTTTTTATGGTTTCAATGCATTGATTTGCTGACAGTGAAATATAGGTAGTGGCAAGGTTAGTGCAAAAATGTTTCTAGGTACTGTTTACTCCGAATTAGCAAATAAAGCAGTGTTTCCTGAGATGTACTCCCCAGAACTCTGTTCCCACAAGAAGTTTGGTGACAAGAGAGTTCTGTTGGTTAAATAGCTTTGCTGCTGTATCCTGCAGGACTCCGAGAAGCCTGGTAGTGAGGAAGGCTGCTTTAACTTGTGTTATCTGAGTGTCTTCATAACGTATTTTGACCACAGAACATCCCCTTATTTTAAGTCCTGCTTATGTGGTTTATGTTCATTTTTAAATTTGAAATATTTATAGACTCAAAGGAAGTAATAAAGAAATGTATAGGCAGGTACCATGTACCCTTCACCCAGTTTTCCCCAGAGGTAATAATGTCTTGCCTGACAATCAGGAAATTCATATTAGTGTAAGCCACGAAGCTTGTCTAGATTTCATCAGTTATACATGCACTTGTTACTCATTTGTTTGTGTGTGTATGTGCGTGCGTGTGTGTAGTTCAGTATAGTTTTACCCTAAGCAGCTTTGTGTAACCACCTCCACCACCAGCGGACTCCATTGTGCTCTCTGTAATTACACTTATTCTCCCCTCCTTTCCCTAGTCTCTGCCAGCCATTGATCTATTCTCCATTTCTGTATATCTGTCACTTTAATAATGTTGTATAACTGGAATTAACTGGAATCATACTATGTTTAACCTTTTGAGATTGATTTTTTTCATTCAGTGTATTTCCCTTGTGACTTATTCAGATCGTTTTGTGTATCAACAGTTATTTCCTTTTTATTGCCGAGTAGTGTTCCGTGATGTAGATGTATCACAGTTTTTTTAAACAATCACTCATTGAATGATATTTATTCCTTCCCCTATTTTGGTGAAATATGTCAATGCCCTCTGTGGATATTGTTCTGAAGGACACTGTTTTTGGAAATTCTATACCACAGAAATGATACAATTAAAGAATTGTCACTTTCTTAAAGATGAAAACTCAGTTATAGAAATTGTCTTTTTATTATTTCATTTAGGAATTCCAGAGACGCTGTAACACTTTAATTTCATTGATTGAGAAAGAAAATATGGAAATTGAGGAAAGAGAGAGAGCAGAAAAGAAGAAACGGGCAACTAAAACTCCAATGGTAAAATTTTCAGCATTTTCCTAACTTTTAGGTAGATCCCATTTTTTTACATAATTAAATACCTATGTTTAATGCAGTAGTGATACCTATTATGAAAACTGTTCTTGTGAAATGCTGATTTGTTTTGGACAGATAAAACATTACACTACAATAACATTTCCTATATCTTTGTAGAACACATGGTGAAGGAGCTCCCTAGCTAGTAACAGGGCTCAGTATTTTAAAAATCCCTCATGACTCTAAGCAGAAGTATATAGCAAATCAAATCCTTTGAATTGAGACCAAGCTATTGTAGGGTTAGGCCAAGGGGTAGGAGTGGGATGAGATGGTGATGAGGTGTCAACTGGGAATTCTGATTTAATCAGATAAGTTCTCTGATCCATGTGGAACTATGAGTGCCAGTGGGAACACTGAGCAGACAACAAAGCTTTACTCAGTAATAAGTTAACTATTGCATTAAAAAAACCTTGATTTTAATACAGTGAGGTTGCTTTGTATAGCTATAATTTAAAATATCCTTAATAGATCTTATTATTTGAGCATGGTTAAGTAATTTGCCATATTTCATTAAATCTAAGATGCTTTCCATTGTCATACACAATTTTATGTACCACTAAGAACAAATGTTGCCAAATATCTGTTAGCAGTTGTGAGATGCATTCTGATTTCACAGATGCTAAAAAATGAAAGACGTGCATTATAGAAGATATGAAATATGGTACTTTAAAATCTATTGTAAATGTTTTAAAAAATATACTCATAAATAAAATTTTGCCCAGAACCTTTAAGTATTAAGTCGTCCTTAAGATAAGAGTACATTTATAGTGCCATGTATAAGTAGATACTTGATGACTATTTTTGACGGGTATTTTATGTCTTTTCATAAAAAGAAACATCTTCAAAGGTTATTTTACATTGAGTTACACAGTTTGTTGGGCTATATAGAACATTAACTGTGAAATATAACAGTGAAGTGAATATTCATGTTAAAATTTTTTTAATGCATTTACATCCTAGATTTAACATTGTTGGGCCATTTAAAAATGTGCATATTGGAGCAGAACATTAAATCTGTTTCCATTTTAGTCACAGAAAAGAAAAGCAAAGTCAGCTACTGAGAGCTCTGGAAAGAAGGATGTCAAGAAGGTGAAATCCTAAAGCCTAGAAATAAAGTTTTAAATGGGAAACTGCTATTTTCTTGTTCCCATCTTCAAATGCTAATTGCCAGTTCCAGTGTATTCATGGTATTATAAGAAAAATCTCTTTGGTTTTGATTTCTTGCATATTTTATATATTTTACAATGCTTTCTACCTGAAATGTGTAGCTTTATATTTTATGCATTCTAGTATTTTTGTGTAATGTATTTTGTGCATTTCATGTTGTCATCAAAATTCTCTCAGTCCTTGTTTTTTTGAAGCTTGTGCTGAGGTTTTAGCTTTTCTATGTTTTATATGCCACTGCTTTGAAAGAGAACCTAGATTCTATAGCTGTATTATTGTTGTTTCATACTTTAAATTTATATGGCTGTGGAAAAATGAATTAAAATGATTTGAGGAGAAAGACTTTTTCACTTCTTTGTTGCTTTCTTTTCTATTGAGTCTGGGCTTGTATGTGTTACTGCATACTGTGATTAGCATAATAATTGTTTCTTTGAGGTCATCTAAATATTTTTTCCTAAAGGAATAAAGGATGAGAAAAGAAAAATATTAAAAAAACTAATATTTGATACTGTGCTTGCTGTCAGTATGCATTACATTTAAATTATTCTCTAAATATTCAAGTGGGAAAATATAATAAAGAAATGTCTATAAGAAATTTAATTATTTCCTGTTTTTTTGTGCAGTAGAAAGCAGTGTGTTTACTGAATTGTATTGCTCACTACTATTTTGTTGAAAGCTTCTCTCCAATCGGCCAGTTCAGAGGAGTCTGGGTATAATGTGTAGATTTATTAACACCTAAATTTAGCACATGAAATAAGCGTTATATATTATAGAAGAGGGGGAGGCTGCATTCATTAGAATATAGTTATGCTCAGGTAATAGTTTCATACTGTGTCAGAGGTTTGTTCCATCAAAAATTAGTTTCTCACGCTCATTGCATATCTCAGGCAGATCAGAAGGATGTGGGATGGGAGGGATCTGCTCCATGCAGTTCTGCAAGAGTCCAGGTTGACTGAGCTCTGCTGTTATTTAGTTGCATCATCGAGGACACATGGCCCTTTCAGCTGCTACTGTAGGAGGAAAACGAGAGGCTGGAGAATTTCATATAGGCTCAGCCTACAGCCTAAAATTGATATATGTCACATCCACTTAGATTTCATTGCCCAAAACTATCCACATCGTCCAAGGTATCCGCAAGCCGGCTGGTAAATGTAGGGGAACAAATGGAATGTCTTAACGTCACTGCTTTCACTAGCTTGCAGTTTGGCTCCAAATTCCAATACAGAGCTCTAAACCCCAAAGTTAAATTTTGGAATTTTCTATTCTAGTGAGATGCAAAGCTACCATCAGTCACCTTGGTTGGAGAAATTGACACCTCAGAGAGTTTTACTGATACCTCCAAGTTCTGGGTACTAGAAAACAGGCAATGAAGGCCCGGACTCTGAACAATCAGTTGAGCCTTTCTTTGATCAGGGAGGGATGAAGATGGAGGGTGAGAACAGGTACAGTTGGGGTCTTTGAACACTTTCATAGAAATTTAACACAACTACTTGTTCTTTCTCTGTTATCCTGAGTGGATAGTACCTGAGTTACACAAATGTGACTGTCTAATTTAAGACCAAAAATCTGCAGGTAAGTTCCTCCAGCCTTTTCACAAGGTCATTTTCCTCATCCATATCAGGGCTCTTATGAGTCTTTCTTGGACCAAAGAGATGAGAAATTCAGCTCCCCAAGGCTGTCAGTGAGCGATTGTGGTGTCATCTTTAGAAACTTGAGAAATGGTTTTACTCAGGACTTAAAGACAATACTATATACTTGGTAAATTCACCACCTCCCGTTTCTCATCTTAAAGGATACAGCTACATCGTTGAACCCAACATAACCAAGAAGACCAATACAATGAACACCAGGTGGTAGCATAGTCCTAATAATACCATGTTGGGGACACAAAACGACCTAACTCTGAATGTGAAACCCCTTATTGTTAGGTTTTCACAGAAAATTAAACTCCCATAGAAAATTTAATAGTCCCAGCAAAGAAATCCCATTTCAAACAAAAGGCCTAGGCTGATGAGGTAATATCCTTAGATGTGGCTGCCATGTTGGGGAGAGAGAGAAGGATAGTTGGTTTGTCATGTCAGCTGCTTGGAGGCCAGAAGAAACAGTGGACCTGCCCATCAGCAAAAACAGTCCAGTCGGTTGTATTACAACCTGATTTAATGGGATTCCTTGTTCGGAAAATGTGGAGGGAGGAAAATGAGTAGACAAACAGGGACCCTGACAGGTTTCTTTCACTTACAGCCTCTGTTGATGACAAGGGGTATCTTCGTTACTTTTCTCATTGGTGAGACAAAATACCTGACACCCAAAGATAAAGGAGCAAAGATTTATTTAGCTCACAGTTTGTAGAGGTTTCAGATCATAGTTAACTAGCTCCATGGCAGGGTGGCAGAGGACAAACAGTTCATGACAGGCAGAAGGCAGCAAGCATTGAAGTTGTGAAGCAGCAAGCATTGATGTGGCGAAGCAGCAAGCAACAACAGCAGCCCTCTTTCTGCCCCTCATATTCTATCCAGGCCCTTAGGGTGGGTAGCACTCACCCAGGGTGGGCCTTCCCATTATGCACACTTAGAACTATGCCAAACCAATCAGTGGACTAATTTAGTAATCACACACTCTTAATCCCAGCATCACACACTCTAGATCCAGCCACCTCTGCAAATGCCCCTCTTATGACCGCCTGAGGCTTTGCTGGGGGGACATCTAGACACAAGCTATAATAAGGGATAAATAGATTTCCCAACAATTAATGCTGATGTACACATTGTTTTCTCTCCAGGGGTTCTTACCAACTCCTGAAATCCTCAAATTGCTATTCAATTTCAGACTTCTATGACTATTCTATCCCATGTTTCCTTCACTTAGTTTGCCTAAGCTATCCTCCCCAGTAGACACGGGGTAAAGTTTTCCTGTGGGGGAAATATACATGGCTAACACTGTCATATTCCTTATCTCTCTTATTATTTTTGTGTGTGCAGCCTACTTTTTTTTTAACTTCCAGTTTCTCTTGGAGGGTTTGTTCAGAGGCCTGGAAGACTTTTTTACCCTCTGTATGATAGCTTATCAGAAGTAGAGGTTAACATCTCTAGGAGCCACTTTCAACTCAGAATTGATCCTAGGTTTCGCACCCTTGAGCAAGTTAACTATGGTACATTGTGTTTGCCAGAGTTCCAAGGGATTAAGCTCTAGTCACCTACAGGGTAGCCATCTTGATAACACACTCTATTGACTGCTTTCCTTTCTCCTGTATCATTTCCATACTCTCAGTGGGCTTTTCCTGAGGCCAGTTCCTAACTACCTTCATTAGAATCTTGGTCTCAAGTTTTGCTTCTGATGAAACCAAATTAAGACGCCTTATGTGCACAGTTCTTCCAAGCCCTTAGTTAATTCATAAAAGTGTAAGGTGTTTCTGTAAGGAGAATGTTTTAGTTACTTTCTCATTGCTGGGCCGAAACACCCAACACCCACAAGTTAAAGGAGGAGAGGTTTATTTGGCTTAAGGTTTGTAGAGTTTTCAGTACATAGCTGGTTCCAAGGTAGGGTAGCATAGTAGAGGGGCAGTGGCAGCAGAGAAACAGCTCGTGGCAAGTCAGGCAAGAAGCAGAGGGATCAAGGGAAGAAAAAGGTTGTATACATCCTCCCAGGCCATGCCCACAGTGATCCACCTCTTCACTCCAGGCTTCACTTCCCAACATCACCCTAGCTATAAACCCGTCAGTGCACTAACCCAGTATCACACTCTCATGATCCACGTGATCCAGCCACCTCCCAAAAGCCCCACCTTTGAGCGCATGAAGCTTTGGGGGACATTTTAGATATAAACTACAACAGAGTAATGATTGGGTAGCATAGCATTGATCCTTTTTTATAAGATCTACCTCTGTGAAGAGTGGATGGTGTGACTGGATCAGGGTGTTCTGCACTGGTACAAAGTACTGTGTCTTGATTTCTCTAATAACAAACTTTTCTCATACCATCAATAGCGATGGTATGGGAAATTATTAGCCAGACTTGAGATTCTGAAATGTTTGGTAAGGCCCAAACTGGTGCCTAGGTTATTGTTTCTATAAGTGTTTCTATGCTGCGTGATACCCCTTTGCTGTACAGTTGTTCATTTAGGTAGCTGGACCAGGTGTTAGTCCTTCTCACTGTACTGGATATATAAGCATCACACAGTCCTGATGATAGCCTTTTTTTCATCTATTGGTCTGGTGAGCTGGTCATTTGTCCTTTTCTTGATATACTGCTTTCCTTCTGGGGAAACTTTTACCTAGGCCACTGTAGTCAAATCCAAGCTACATTTTGAAAAATTGATTTTCAACCCCACTTCAGTAGTGCCTCCAAAACCTGCTTGTTTATCTTCTGATCTCTCTGTGATACAGGTATTAGAATTCTTCAGTATGTTTGACTACCAAATTATGTGCGCTATTTTTGAAGGTCTGTATATCTCTGGGAGGTTGACGTTGAGCACTGTATGTATCCTGCTGTACACCTCCCATCATTAATACAGTTTTGAATTAAAGTGTCTTCTGCACTGGTGAAAACCAAAACCTATTTGCTGTATCCAAGACAGAAAAGATATTTGCATTAGAGCCCCAGCGTTGCTAGAATATTTGGTATGTGACCATCAACGTCAGTCCCCTAAAATCAACTGTAAGTCCCCAAATGGTATTTGTTTTTGTCCTGACCTGACCAGTTAGTTTTGTATTGGCTATCAGAGCACTACTGGAATATGACAGTTTACCCCTCTTGTACTAAGATTGCCATGGCATTCCATCTGCTGTTTCCCAGTGTGAGCTAGCTATGTTGTTTAGAATTGGATAGTCTCCATTGATTGCAGTTAGGTCTGAGTCTGAGTGTCTTTGTGAGTATATGTTTTCCTTCTTTCGTATATGTCTATCCTGGTTTCTAAAACCTCAAGCTTTCTTTCTGTCATTCAGTTCCTTATTCTTTCCTAATTTGCTTTTCACCACTACTAAAACTAAAACTATTGCCTGGACAAGTTTTCCGTTCACTTGAGATATCCCTTAGTCACTACCTACTGATTAAGGGCCTTTAAATATGTCCAGGCCAAGCTAATTCTCAAAGCCAAAGCCTTCTGGATACTGTTATTATTTAATGCCTTTTTGACTTTTAATCTTGTTTTACTTTATGTTTTCTCCTCTACTTAATTCCGGGAATAAGCTTCTTTCTCCATGTAATAAATGCCTTTTGATCCACTTTTATCACTGTACTCCACTTCCTTTCAATGATTGCACCCACACTATGAGGTTTTTGAAACCCACAACCATAATTAGACACTTGACCAAAATTCCTGGTTACACATTGCAAACCACTAAGGTTTA